CGGATCATCTACAAGAACAAGTGCATGAGGAACGGGCCCAACATCCTCATCGCCAGCCTGGCCCTGGGGGACCTGCTGCACATCATCATCGACATCCCCATCAACGTCTACAAGGTGAGGGGGCAGCCGGCCAAGGGCCCGCGCGCGGGGGTGGCGGTGCCTGCCACCTCTCCTCAGGGCTCCCTGCCGAAACGCCACCTGGCCCGGCGGGGAGACGCCGGGGGCTAAACCCTCGGCCAAAAACCTGCCACGGGATGGAACTGGGGCTGCATGTTGCCCCTCTAATTGCAGACCGCCCCCATCTTCTGACCCTGTCGCAGCCCTCCCAGATCTGGGCATGGGTTTGGGACGAGGGCAGAGGGGGCCATTCGTGATTAGAGGTAACGTGGCCCTGAAAGTCACCTGGAAACAGATTTTGTCCCAGGGACGAAGGAAATGAGGAGTGCGTTAGATTTGTAGGTTCCCTCCTTTCCCAAGGGATGGAGGAATGCCAGAGAAGCACTTCTGCCGCGAGCGTGGGTACTGCTCAGCTCCTTCTGCTGAAGGAACCAACCCGGTTAAAGCTGAGGGCTTGACAGAGCAGGCGGGAGAGAGCTTTGTGTTTGTTTAAACATCCAGTGGCTGTGAGATATGCTGTTACTGTGATCCTCTCCCCCTTTCACACTCCTACCAGAGTGTTACGGCATGAGCAGTGGAGAGGGAGTAGCCACACCTGCTACTCTTGCAGTTCATCTCTTACACCTTCCTTACTCTTTAAGGTGATAAAGCTTGCCGCAGAAGGAGTGCAATCTGTGCCCTATCTACCCAGCTTGAGCAGTCCCTTTGCTTTTATGAATTCGAGTTGAATGCAGCCTCTAGTTAAGATCAGGACTCCTGGGAGGGATGATGGGAAAACAAGGCTGCCTTCTGCCCCAGAGTTTGCAGTCTAGGTTCCTGTGCACCCATCAGCTATTGCATGAAGTGAACATGAGAGCCTTCATCTATCTATTCCTTCTCCTCACTTCGTGTGCATGGTTTTAAACTTTTGAGTTTTGTTACTTTAGCTTTGGAAAGCTGTGTTGAACTGACAGGTTTTGAATTTAGTCTTTTATATCAGTTGTGATTTCTCCCAGAAGTTGTTGAAAGGGGAGAATGCTGCATTTTTGTATTTCTGAAGTAATGAAGCAGTGAACTTACACGTCATCATAATTGTGTCAAACTGTTGGGCTGGATAACTTGGATTACCTGAAAGTTGCTTCAATTTGTAATTTCAGTAATTTCCATACAATACATTTATGGGAGTTCTCATATGAGGCTACCAGTCTTCTGAGTGAGAGTGGAATTTATGAAAAAAATATTCAGGGTTAACTGTTTTCAATAACTTTAACATTATAAGAAACTATTAATTGAAAAGAAAGATTTTTTCCATCCGTTCTCAAAAAAGGCAAAAATAGTGTATCAATAATACAATTGTTCATACAGTAACACAATTGCTCCCTGCAATCTCAGGGACACTGACATGTCAAAATTAAATACATCAGTGATAAAATGCAGTAATATATTGCAGTCCTTATCTTGGTTGAATATCATCAAGTATATCATCATGAGTAGGCTGGAGCTGGAGGAAAGGTCAGCTTGCCTACTGATAAGTATTAGACAAGCTGCAAGTCCAGGGTTCTTACTGCGCTATTGATAATACTAGGAGCTTATCATAAGCTCTCAGGTGACAAAACTCCTATGCTGCCACTCATCTTTACCAAGAGCCCACATTAGAATTACATTATCCATTAGAATAGTGAGTAAAATATTTGCCATTTTAAAACAAGATTTTTGAATTAATATAGTCAGAAAAAAAACAGACCATAGATTGTATTAATTTGATTTTTCATCAAAATTGAATAGTTTGAGTGTAATTTGAGTTGATGATAACTTTTTTTCAACTCTACATCTCCTATAGTTCCACCGCAGAGCTGCTTTGTAGGTCTGGGGAACAACATAGTAGTGTAATATAGTAGTTAAGCCTGACTATAATCATCTAGTAGTATGGGAAAAACAAAAGTTAGCAGAGTCTTAGTTTGTAAATCAAGTGTACTTAACATTTGTAACTTGCAATTTGAAACAATTTTAAAGTGAATGAAGTAGATCGTCAGAATTGCTGTCAGATACACAGCTAGCCAGCTACATGGAAAAGAGTGTGAAAGAATTTGTTCTGTTTAAAAAAAAAATGCCATGGCTTTACTCAACAACACTTGCACTAGAAAGTGTGAAAGTGTCTGTGAATGCTTTCCGTAACAGATAACTCAGAATTTGTACTAGGAGCATAATTTTATTAGCTATTAAATGTGATGACTGCAAAAGATGTCCCTTGTGAGTATTTAAGTTAAGTGAATATTTAAGTAGCTGAAAAAATACACCAGTGAAGATTCGGATCACTCAGTTGAGAGTACAGCCAGGGTTATCTATGTAACCAGATGTTACATATATTTTGAGAAAAATGCACTCTAATGTGTAAGATGCTAATTAGTCCATCTCAGTTGATAAATTTGACCAAGACATTGAGCTGAAAATGGAAAATATTGCAATCTTTCAAGCAATCAGGAAACTGAGTATGAAAAGGTATGAGAGGGGTTCTATTCCGGCTTGCAGAGCCTGGAAGACCTTTTCAGCTTTCGGGGTCCTAGTAAACATTCTGGCTTTGGCTGTAGCCCCAGAACTGCAGAATGTGAAGTAGAGAAAAGAGTGCGACAATCACTCTGCAGTATGTAAAATTATGGCAGTATAGATCCTGTGCCAAATTACTACTAGTTGGATGTGCAGATGCTTTTATATCTGGATCAATCGCTTCACTAAAACAAGCTTAAGTCTAGGCGTCTTCATTAATCGAAGGCATACAAGGCTGCGAACAGCAATTCTGCCTGTGAGCATAAGGAGCAGAAGAGTAGAGTAGGAAATACTATATGCCAGTGGTCAGTGAGTCTTCTGTGTCCTTCTCTGCATTTAATCCATGGAAGACTTAAAATAGTGGCAGCTTGTCTGCCTGACTGTATAGCTCTACGGTTTTGGAAGCTTTCTGCTCAGTTTCCCAAATTGAAAAAGGTGGTAAGACATCAAAACAACCCTAAGACTGAAAATTCCAAACTTCAGTGCTGTTACACAACGTTAGCTCTGCCTCCCACGCATATATCTGTAATGATATAGGAGCACATACTTTACAAAACAGTGTCATTTCTCCATGTAATACTGTGCCTTCTCTTTTGAAACATAAACATATCTCTCTCTCAAGTATAATTCTGTGATATTTATTCTCTTATATTAAATCGAATTTATTGTTGTGTTCCAGTAGATTTTTAACAGCACAGACACTTTTAGCCAGATCGTAGTTTTGCTTCCAGTGTTCACACAAAGAAATAAATGTGGGGGATCAATGCATACACTGCACACACTTGTATGGCTTTCTGAACTCTGGCTATCAATTTGCTATGACACAAATGAGTGAGGAAAAATGTGTACCCAGAAGAACTGTCACAAATTCCTTTATCTCAGTGCAAAATATATGAGTGGAAAAAATAAATTTCCAGGAATGAACGGAAAGCCATCATTTTCCAAGGTGATGATCAAAGGCCACAGTCAGCTTTGTAGGCAATAACTTCTTTTTCCATAAGATATTTTAGGGTTTACATTAAAAATATTAGGTAAAGAACATTATATAGCGCTGTCAAGCACTGGAAATATAAGAAAGATCAGGTTAGGGACAGCATATCCCATACAGCTTCAGTTTTGCTCTAGAAAAGGCAAGTTTTCCATGGGAATGTCTCCATGATGATCTTAGTAACTCTCAGGACACAAGTACCTATAGAGCATGAATCAGTGTTGCCTGCATTATGATAAAGTTCATCTTTACTAACTTTCCAAAAAAGTCAAAGATCTTATCCTCAGAGAATATAGTTATTATTCCTTATTGCAACTCTTCTGCCACTAATTCTTCTGGTGTTAAAGAAAGAAACAGCCATTTTATTGAGAGAAACATATATTATTTCCTTTATTTCAGTGCCTGAACCATTTTCTTGAACTCTTGCAAAGTTCATCTCTGGGCAGAAATCAAGCATTGAGAATTTCTTACCCAAAGTTTAATCTATGACCATATTAAGTTAAAAGTTTTGTTTGCTTAGCATCCCTGTATGGTCAACAAATGCAGATGGGCACTTAGGAAAGGGCGCTGCAGCCTATCTAGGATCTGAATAGTCCTTTAGAGGAACCTGTGTCTCTCAATAGACTCTAGAGAGGATGGGGACAACTTTATTCTGCAGGTAGGTGGGAAGAACCTAGGCTGTAGTCCAAGATACGGGGTAGTAGAAATGTCTGTACATTGTTTGCAGTGCATGCATTTGTAAATTTAGAGTAATTTTTTTGTTATGTATACAGTTGTCATTCACCCAGAGGAAGCCTGTGAAAAATTTCAAAACCACTTTTCGTCTTGTTTTTTGATTCTGCCCTGTGTTTATACTTACCAACCTGAGAGCAACACAGTTTACTTAACAGTTAATTCTGCCCCAGTCCTTTCACTGAAGTTGTGAGATTGCAGAAACTTTTTACTTCGACAAGACATTCTGGGGTTTCTGTCATTTTCGAGATCTCTGTAGGATGTTGCCTTATCTTAATTCAGTATATAAGAAAATAAAGTTTATAAGCAGAAGTTACTAATAAAAGAACAGAGAATGGGACTAATTGTGTGCCTCATATTAAGATTTATAGTGTTTATCAGACAGACTCGGTAAAACATTCTTAGCTTAATTAGGGAAATGGAAATGTACTTTCTTGTCTAGAAAGACAATTCCTGCCCTGACATATGAATAAATCCTAGTTACTGTTAAGTAGTAACAAGTTTTTTAATGTTGTCTAAGTCATCTCTGACCGTAAACTTAATTTTCTGAGCAAAGTCATGTTTAGGGAAATACTTGCTCCTATGAAATACTGAAAATGCTTTTATATGCATGAGCCTATCTGTCTTCCCAGTATAACAGGAAAGATATGAATGTATCAGTGAAAACGCGGCAGTCTTAGTAAATTATTTATCATATAAATTATATATTAAAAAAATATTGCTCATGAATTAGGTAAACAGTTGCATGCCTGGTTTCACATGTAACTCTGTGATTTATAATCTCTGAGCATCAAGTCCTGTTGCACTGTGAGCTGGACTTCTTTGAATACACACATAAGGGGAAGTAAGTTCCTGCTTTGCATTTTCATGTGTGTGCAGCACTTGGGACTAGCACACAGACGTAAATAAGCATACACTTTGCTGCGTCTTCATGCTCGCCAGAGGAAGTCAGCCGGTGCGGGTTGGAGCCATGGCATCAGCTTTCTGGCTGGTGGCCGCAGCAGCTGAGCCTCCAAGAGCAGAGTGTCACACTCTCATGCTGGCATATTCCAGTAGTAGATCACTAACGTCCTTCTGCTGCTGCACAACCGAGAGGAAGCTGGGAATTGTAATGCACAGGTGTGTCTCTGAGTCACATCATCTCTTGGGGCTACTTTCATAGCTATGCAGCTGTCACATCAGTTCAGGCTGAGATCTGTGCCTAGTCTGACTAAGTATTTGCTAGGAATGCATCCGATGCAGGAACAGTTCTTCATAGAACTAGTACATTTTATGATTTCACATCATTCTACAGTTTATTCTCTGCCCTTTTCTTATAGTTAATTTAACCTTTTTACACATTTCTGTGGCTTAGCAGTTAAAACTTTGCCCATTTAAATAAGTCACTAGAAAATATTACAAAAGAACAGGCAGCATATAGCCAGTGGTAGACTTCTCTTGGCATTTTAGTTCTGAAAACGCAATATTATTTTTCTTTTTACCACTGCTTGGCAGTATTTCATGACTTAGAGTCATTCATTATTTGTAAAATGGAATTCTCTTTGCGCAGATAACATATCCTGAATCTTATGAAAATCTTTCTACCCATACAAAATTGTATTGGACTACATCCATAATTTGCTAAGAATAAACATTGTTTTTGTCCACAAATGATGATCCTAAAAACTTCACACTGGATTTTCACTATATTTCAGTGCAGTTTCTTGAGGAGATGGCAATACATAGGACAAACAGAAGCAAACAAGGGAGAGTGAATCCAACATTTAAAATATTCTGCTTTTCCTTTTATTTAGGTTAGTTTTTTCAAATTTTTACTACAAAATATTGAATTTCATGATAGAAGAAATGTATGACTCACGCATTAGAATGCACAAATTTCATAATAGGTCAGCTACGGGAGACAGCGTGTTTTTCCAATCCAATACAGACAGTCATATCCATTCTCCCCCTGATTTAAACTGGCTGAATGCAAGTCACATTTTGGTGTGATGCTAAACCCAAACTAACACACCCTCTCTGTCAGTAAGTCATACTCGCTCGTGTGCAGCGCCATTGTAATCTAGCCATAGGGCTCCCAAACTGGAGCTGGCTCAAATCCGGCCAACTTGGAGCACAGGTGAGACTATCTGCGTCTGACAGATAAACATTAGTTCTTGGGAAATCTCCGATGTGTGGCTGAGCAGTTGTGATTTTAGGGAATAGAGACAGGGGATGCCTTGCACATGCACCAGCTAGTTTTAGCTAAAATTCCTCAAATTAAGATCTGTCAACAAACGTTTGATAAAAGTTCTAAATTTTGGTTTGGGGAAGAGTAAAACATTCTGATTTTTAAAAAAATGCCTTTTTTAATGAATCATCTCTGGTTTCATATATACAGATACACTTGCTACTAAGTCCTGGATTTTTAAAGCAGCTAGGTGTGGTAGGCTGGCGGTTCAATGCCTGATTATTATAAATAGTCCAGGTGTAATTTGATTTTATAGAGGGTACATTTAGAATACCTGTAATTATTCACATTGAAATTTTAATAATAGTTTGTTACTATCACCCCCTTATGGAAATTGGAGAAGTCTCACAGGAGGGGCTTTAACTGGAAATACTTTAATTACGAAGACTGAATTATTAGCCCACATCACATAAGCAAAATGCATATACTGTGGTTATTACAGCCTCACGCCTGCTTCCTCTTTTTTATTACCTTCCATGAAATTCTCAAGAAACATAAATTGTTAGGATTTTTCTGCTTAATTTCTGCAAAAATATTGTGCTGTTCACCTCGCCTCAGTAGACAGTTGAGGAAAGAGATCAAAGTTGGGCTGTGATACGATATTCTTACTACTGTTTCTTCAAAGGTCTCATTTCAGCAGAGGACTAAAGCAGATTTTTGCAGGTGTTCATGAGAATCTTGGGGGATTTCCAAAAGCACTTGATTGTCCAGTGTACCTAGCTTCCTTTGGATTAAAATATAATGGTACTTAAACCATATAGGGGCTTTTGAAAAACTGTCTAGATCATGTTCATGTAATTGCTTATCCTTACATGCATGTATATGTGTGCTTAAGACTTTTGCTGGATTGAAGCCAATGTAAGCAGGCAACTACATGGCTATCTTGTACCATTTTGGTCCTCAGCAGAACCTATATATTATGATGATTTATTTCTTCTTTTCTCACATCCTTGTTGCTAAAGAAGATACTGAGGAGAGTTGAGTCGCAGGAAAGGATTTGTAATCTCCTTTTGGAGATTATCACTTTTTTTCCTCTACTTCTGCATTTTGTAGCCCTCCATCTGCAGTACATCGAAAAGGCCTGCTGTGTAGAAAGTTACGAGAAATAGATCTGTAGAAATGGGCTTAAATGATGTGACTAATTACAGAAACTCAGAAAGTTTACTTCTGTATATAACAATTGTGACTCTGTTTCTTGGCATAACCTCTATTCTGGAGAGTCTTGCTTTTATGAGGAATTGAAGGATTTGGCTCCTGCTATGATGTATTTGAGACGCTAGAATAGCTCACAGCAGGGTACAAAGATTAAATTTGTCTAAAGTAAAGCTACAGGCAAACAGTTTAGGGCATCCGCTGTGAGGAAAGTGTTCTCTATAATCCTGGGCTATTCACCCAGTAGATCTTTTCCTCTGAATTTGCTAAAACGTACCATCCATGATCTTAACATGTAAGACCCAAAGAGCAATTGAACCAACCTAAAATTCAGTGTACTGTTGTCTTTATTCAATAGCATATATGGGTATGCTGAATGCACGATTGGTCGTTTTGGTACTGTAATAAATATTAGAGTCACATCAGAACCTGTCAGCAAAGAACTCCAGCGCAGGGATTCATCTGATCTGTCTTTACCTGCTGCAAGACAGTTAGTACAAACTGGTTGTTTAGGCTTCCTGAGTGTTCTGTAGAGAGAAAAGGCACCCCCATAAGGCAATTCTTCTTGTCATCAGATAGTCATCAAAAATCTGTGAGATCAACTGCTCTTCAGCATTGCCTGACTTCTCAGCTGAGGGAGACACCTAGCTTCAATTAAATCCCACCCCAGGTGTGCGATCGTTAGCTTTTTCTCTGTCCTTGTCAGTCTTGAGTCATTTTCTGTATTTTTAGTAAATAGTTACCTGGAAGACTTAAAGAAGAAAAGTAGTGAACACCAAAGACAGATAATAGCCGATATAAAGAAAAGGAAAATCCAATCCTGCTCAGTCATCTTGCGCTATAATCACTGAGGTAGTGAAGTTAAAACAGAAGCATAATGAGTGGAATTTGTAGGGGTTTAACTAAGCCTTTATGCACATCCTTGTCTACCCAGGGAGAGATTGTGAGGCTACTGCCCAGTTTTTAGGACACACCTTGGAGACTCCCTTCTGAAATGGCTCTTTTTGACCAAGTTTTACATTCTTGGATAAAACAATTAAGATAAAAGTGTATGTTGCAGATACAGGAATGATTTTTAAAAGATGGGTCATTTGTAATTGTATGCTTTTTTTTTTCTTTTCACAGCTACTTGCAGAGGACTGGCCCTTTGGGGTCGAAATGTGCAAATTAGTACCCTTCATTCAAAAGGCATCAGTGGGCATCACAGTCCTGAGTTTGTGTGCCCTCAGTATAGATAGGTGAGATCCATTTTTTCACCACACTGTAAAATTTCTTTAAATAAGGGCATTGGTTCAAATTCTCCTTTCCATTCAGTTGATGTAATACTAATGAGCTGAGTTTAAGCCGGTTAAACCACATGGTTTTTTTTTTTTTTTTTTTTTTTACTTTTAATCTGTAAATATGTCCCATTGCTTCAGATACCGAGCAGTTGCTTCTTGGAGTCGCATCAAGGGAATAGGAGTGCCAAAGTGGACTGCTGTTGAAATTGTCCTGATCTGGGTTATATCAGTGATACTAGCAGTTCCAGAAGCTATAGCATTTGACATGATTACAATGGAGTACAGAGGAAAGGATCTTAGAATTTGCCTACTTCACCCCACACAAAAAACATCCTTTATGATGGTAAGACGCTGAAGCTTGCATCACAACTTTCTGGGACAGTTCCTTGAATCTTCTCAATGTACTGTGAATTGAAATGTTCACAAATGTATGTGAAATATATGTGAATATAATGTTCAAATGAAATACTGACAAATTTCTAAAGTATATTGGTTAAAAGAGGGGCATTCAGAAATGTTTTGTCTTTTGGGGGCTTTGGCATGCTACTTTCTTGTCCTGTTTTCTCATCTGTAATATACACTTTACACAGAATTTTTTGAGGACAGATTGATCACATCATAGAGTAGACTTTTGAAATGCTCAGCGTTTGACTCCTAACAGTGCTTTTCTTTTCCCTTCTAGTTTTACAAGCAAGCTAAAGACTGGTGGCTGTTCAGCTTTTATTTTTGTTTGCCACTGGCCATCACTGCGTTTTTCTATACTCTGATGACCTGTGAGATGTTAAGAAAGAAAAATGGAATGCAGATAGCTTTAAATGACCACTTGAAGCAGGTAAAAATTTATCCCTGACAAGTCTGCTGACTATAGAGAGATTGACAAAACCACCTTTATTAACTTACGTGCCACATCATTATTCTGCTCTTAAATGACAATTGTGAGGTTCGTACTAAGGAGAAGTTTACTAGCAGTCGTACTGCTGAGCTCATATATATCAGAGTGCTCATATTTCTCAGATTTCCTTCAGAAATCTAAGACTAACTGACAGTCACAAAGCTTTGTTTCTTGTTTGGTGTTAATCCTTCAGGATTTATAGTTTTTATTTCTTCTTTACAATTATGAGAGGTGGATATTTTCTAATGAAAACTAAAATGTCACTGTAACTTAGAAGCTGATGCTGGAAGAATACTAATTTTTTTTGAGTCAATTTCATGCCAGACTGTAGTGAGGTTAGCAGTATGTCAGAACAAAACACGCTCCATAAAACTAGTAGTGGACCAAACAGAATTATTATAAGTAACTTGAATTAAACTGCATTTGTACTGTAAAGTGCATTTGTGATCCTTTTTAATAGCTTTTTAGTTTGCATGCTAATTTGCAGTGTCATTAGTCATTGCAGTGTCATTGCAGTGTCATTAAAACAAGCGTGGTCCTCTAGTCTCATCGTCCTCATTGGATATTTAAAATTAGACCTGAAATCAAAGCACAAGAAACAAGCTGGCATTTGAAAGTGATTGGGCAGAAGAATTTCTTTTTTCTTTTTATGTTTGTTTGTTTGCCCTTGATTTTCCATATTATAGTTCATAATTTTTTAAATTGGAGATATAGAGAATATGTGCAAGGCACTAGAAGAATAGAAAAGATATCAAAGTACATATTTCAAGAAAATAAGATATTCTGATGTTCTCCTAACTCCTATTTTGATAGCTATATTTTTGCTTACCAAACATTTTGATATTAGAAGGCAACAATGGAATGAGAGACAAAAACTGTAACACTGTTCTTTCCAATTTTGTTTTCAGAGACGTGAGGTGGCCAAAACTGTGTTCTGTCTGGTGCTTGTTTTTGCCTTGTGTTGGCTCCCACTTCATTTAAGCAGAATATTGAAGCTCACTATTTACGATCAGAAAGACCCGAACAGATGTGAGCTTTTAAGGTGAGACTGCAAAATACTCATGTACTGCTGACTTTATTTATTCTCTCTAAGCATATTTGGATTTCCTAATGAACTAATTTATTTTGTGTGTCTGGAGATCTCTCTGCTTTTTCACCCTGTATGCTCTGGTTTTACTCCAGTGGCAGAATCAGGAAATTCCAAGGAATCCCAGGAACACAGGGCTTCTGTGCTGTTTGTCCTATCTTCCTCTGGATCCTATCTGGATCTATCCTACTGCCTTGTGGCTTGATGTTAAAGAAAGAGGAAAAACTGTGTTCCCCTTTTCACTTTCAACAGAAAAGCTAGGATTGAATTGGTGAAGAAAACATGATAGATATTTCCTACCCAAAATTAAGGTGATTGGATCTTCTGTAATTACTTTCATGAGAATGGACTAATGATTCAAACTTTATTACTATGCACAGTTATTGCCTCCGTGAGCTCATCTTAGTCACATAAGCCCCACTCCTATTATTATATTTAATAGTCTTGGTGAGTAAAGTGGAATCCAATTTTTAGGTTGTTAAGCTCTACTAAGCCTTTTCAGAAAAAATGAGAAGTGTCTCATTTACTTTAATTTCCCCACAGCTTTTTTCTTGTGATGGACTACATTGGTATTAACATGGCTTCGCTGAATTCCTGCATCAATCCAATAGCTCTGTATTTGGTGAGCAAAAGATTCCAAAACTGCTTTAAGGTAAGAGACTCTCTGCAGCTGCTCCTTTAGTTAAAACATGGTGTCAGCAGTAAAATTAATTCCATAACATGCACAAAGTGCTTTAAATGGTAATTAATATTACTTAAAATTTTAATTGGGTTATGATAGGTATTCTCTCCCTCTCTTACTGAAGCTATGTAGAAAGAGATTAAAGATTCATAGGGATAAAAAGAGAAAGCAAAAGAGAAGAGTGTGTAATAAACCCTCTCAGCACCCTCCTAATCAGGCTACATCACTTCCTGACTGGAGCTGGCATATAGCCAGCTTGAGAGCACTGACAAAGCAGACTCAGACTTCTCTGCAGGGATTCACGTAGACATATCCTCTCTAACCCAACAGGGAGGACACTGACCGCAGAATCTCTGCATCCTGACTGAGCACTTGAGGTGGTTATGTAACAAAAAGGGTATCAGTATTCATTTGGCCCTCTCCGGTACCTCCATGTAAAAAGAAAAGATGGACCTTTTCATGGTTTTGCCTTGGTTTGAAAGAAGAGTCCTAGGCACTAATTCTCCACACAGGATTTGAGGCTCTGGATCCCGTGTGGATTGCAGTCCAATTCTACCCTCTTCACCAGCCCTTCAGCCTTCTAGCAGCCCAGCTCTATCGTATCTGCTCAGAAAATGTCTAGATTTGATGCTCAGCAGCTCCAGAGGCCCCTAACTGTCTTTAGGCTGTTTATCAGGATTCTTGTTTTGCTTAGCATAAAGTCTTAGATTTCTCTCTTGGTACCAAGCATTTAACAGTTGTGTGCTGCAAGGCCTACTCCCTGGTTATCCAAATCCTTTATTGGCTATATCCTTCAGTCAGAGATAAATCACCTTTACATCTAGTAGTCTTGTATTTCCCTCATAATTATGACAGGACATTTTACAGAGGCTTTAGCGTGAGTCTTATCTTCCCTGTCTACATTACTGGGTCCCTGAACTACTGTAGTCAAGGGCACATCATCAAGGTCTGTAGAATCGGGTGCTGAGGCTGGGAACAGGTAGACATGAGGAGAGGAAAATTCCATGTTGGACACCATGTGATACCTGCTTATCAGGGGTCAGCACCAAAGAGCAGTCCGCAGCATCAGCAAACGGACTGCAGTACGTCAAGGAGTTTTTTGAACTGTAGGTTTTTTGCCATTCTCTTATTTAGTTCTTTTTCACCCTAAAAATCAACTAAATAGCAGCATCTCACTCAGGAAGTATAGATTACTGTGCATACATTTTTACAAGAAAGATTATTGTAGAAATTACAAGGAGGAGTCCAATTTTATTTTCAGGTGCATCTAGAATTGCAGATAAGACTCAAAGTGATATGTCTGTGGCCAGAACATTATTCTTCCTGTCGTTCAATCCTCAGATTATTAATAGGATATCTCAGGAACTAGTTGGTTTTCACTTGGGTAAAGCAGAGCTTAGCGATATTTCTTTGCTTACGTGGTAGCACCAAAATGGTAGCTTAGCCACTTTCCATTTCCTACTGTACCACTGAATAAGGGCAATGTTTCAATGCATTTTGCAACATGCACAAAACAAAATGATGTAAAATGTTTATTCCTTCTGTTTTAACAGTCATGTTTGTGTTGTTGGTGCCAATCCAAAGATCTGTTATCCCTGGAGGAAAGGCAGTCCTGTTTAAAGTTCAAAGCTAATGATCACGGATATGATAATTTCCGCTCCAGTAACAAGTACAGCTCTTCATAAAACAGGCGTAAAAGGTATATTCTCTTAAATTAATGCTGATGCCTTTTTGAGTAAGAGTGGCAATTACTTTTGATAAGAGAAAAGAACCTTCAGAAGGATCGAGTTCTGTGGTTTTGTGTTTGCACAAAAAAAGGAAATCGTAAAAAATAATTGCCCAAAATCTGTATAACTTTCAAAATCACAGACATATTTGTAAAATTGTCATTTATAGGACATGAAGAAAAGCACAGAAATAACAAGTCATTGTTAGCACTTGAATACTTCTGAATCAGCACTTCCAAATGATCCCCACTTCCTGTATATTAAACAATCATCTGTATTCACTATAACAGTTGTAGGAACTGGAGTCACAGTAATTACTAAGTAGTATAATATAACTTTATTTGGATCAATGCCAGTATTATATATAACTCAACACATTATCTTTTATAAAGCAGATTAACAAACCATCATTATTGTTTTTAAAAAATCTGAAATATTTTGTAATACATGTTTAAATGTAAAAAAAGTAGAATTTTTACTGGGGGTGTTATAGAGGTAGCTAATAAAAACATTAAAGGCTGCAGTCAAGTTGAAAGTGCATTTCACTTTGATGATTGTTTTTACCTATTATTTTTATAAGGAACTTCCAAGACCTCTATAAATACTGTTCTGTAATCAGTTTGCTTGTTCAGTGCATTTGGCAGCACTTTGGATATGATCACTGTTTCACTGTCTCCATGTTATTTGTGTTTCATATGACGGGAGAGGAGAGAAAAACACACTGAAACAAATACGTATAGTCATAGAACCACAGAAACTATGCCTGGTATTGGAAACTAGCTGTTTTTAACTGAAAACAAATTGATTGTGTCCCTTGTTGACAGCGGGCATTCGAGAACCTGGTGGCTGTTCAGTCAAGATCCTTCTGCGACAAATTGCAACTGTTGCAATCGAAATACTATTTTGGGGCAAAAACCTTTAGAAATAACAGATAGTACAAAATGTAACAAAGCAAAACAGAGGGAGACAGTGAATTTGAAGTTCTATTTGCATTTGGATTTTAATCTTCATAAAGAAAATAGTTCACAAACTGTACTTCTAAAACCAGTACTATGTAGCACGCTAGTCTTGATATTATATGTTCTACTTCTGTAGTTCCATAGTTAGGGGCTTAAGAAGGTATGTGATTATTTTCTGCTTCTGTAAATAGTTTAGTGAAGCATAATAAATTATAACGTATTAAAATATGGGCAGGACCCTGCAAGAAAACAGAAAGATAAAGAAAGATGCCTGTTGTAAACATGATGTGCATTGCCGGGAGCAATTCACATTTTGTACATATGTGACAGGTCGTTCTTTGGCTTTTCATTTCCTACTAATTTGTTGCAGATGTCCCCAAAGACTTATTAACATATTTCATGCACTAAGACATGAGTTTTTCAAGAAAAAATATCATATAACATGCTTTTTAAAATAATAGAAGTATTTATCAAAACTCAGGAATTTTTTTAATTTCCAAATTTCACGTGTAAGGATTTTTACCTTTTTGTCAGCCTTGATTAACTTCAGATTTTTTTTAATGAAGTGCCTTAAGTATGCTCAGGATGAAAACAGTTTTCATAAAATTTTCAGCTAGTGTTGCCTGGGATGAGGATCATCTCACCTGACTTTAGGCATCTACTGCATACCTTGTAGACACCTAAAACAGGTAAGGTGAACCCCATTCCTGGTATTGCCCCATCAAAAGCTAGTAAGTCTATGCCCGTATAAACAGGCTGAGGACATATGTATGTGCACTGGACCATATGCACGTGTGTGTGTGTGCGTGTGCAAGTGTGTATGTTTTCTACCATTAGGTTGCTGTTACCATCTTTCTGTAGACATACACTCGACTGCTAAAATGCTAAACTTTTATAAATATAAATGTATGTAAAGTTTTGTTCATTACATTTTTACCATGGAAATAATTCATAATATTGTTCTTTGGCAGTTCCTAAATTAAGTAGAAGATTAGAATTTTACGTGAAATTAATTCCTTTTCTTCTATCCAGGAAGGTAATAATTGGCTAGTTTGACTATAAAAATATTAATCATAGTTGTTTACACATGTTTTAACTTTCTCATGGTAAGCCGTGAATATCACTCCACTCTGCCTGCAAGTATTTCTGTGAAATGCATTTCCTCTGTTACGAATGGATAATCAGTTAAATCCTAAGTTTGATACTAGTCAGTGTTATTTTCATCAAGTTATATCGTTACAAATTGTACTTATATATTATTGTTATTTTTATTTAAAATACAGCTGTTGTATGGGCAGCTGTGTGAAAATTTTTTTTTTTTGCCTAGACTAATTCTCTGTTAAGACAAATCCTGCTAAGTCAGACATTTAGGTTTTGCAGACAAAGTACATGTATACTTCCTGCTTTTCAGAAATAATGTATACTTATGAGCACACTTTTTTCTTTTTTTTTCTCAGTATTTTTCAAAGCAGTATTTTTCCTGAAGTTCTCATTTCCTATAATAAAAATTAAAAAAACTATGCTCTCATACACTTAGAAAAATATACAGGAGAACTCAAACGTGCCTGCGTTCTAGCTAGAATTGAATCTCTCATACTGAAGACAGGCATTCTCAAAAGTCCTCAGTACAGGTCTATTCCTGCATACACTGAAGTCAGTGAATGTTTAACCATTCACTTCAGCTGGGGCAGAATTAGGGCACAACATGAGCTTTATGAAATTTGCTATCTTGAATAAAGAAAGGAAAAATAAGTTTGTTTTTTTTTTTTTGAGAAAGGAGTTGTCTAGAAAAATTAGAAAGTAAAAGCTCTTGCTGCAAACAGCCTATATAAAGCTCTCTAACTAGTTCAGCCTCAAACAGGGGGGTTGCACATAGCAGGACAATTGCAGAGGCACACATGCATCTTACATAGGAGTTTGGCAGGCTTGCTCAGAGAGGTTTGACATAAAGGAAGTGTCATCAGTCCCAGTGGCCTGAGGAGCTGACACGGAATGGCTTGAGATAAAGCCATTTGAGATTAAAAAAAAAAAGGAAACTGCAGGACTTCTCTGAGTTTTCACCTTCAGATAATACATTTTAGTTCCTCAGCTGCTCTGAATTCTGTCTGCATACAGTGCTCTGAGAATTCAGAGAGGGAATTTCAGACTGGGTGGACTGAACTTATAGCACTGGAACTACACCTCAGAGAATAAAATGCAAAAATCAGTGTGTATGGAGCGTCTACTGTGAGCTGCCGTATTTCACTGTCCCAAACTGTCCCCTGACCAACACACCGTTGGCTTAACAAGAGAATGTTGTATGTGCTGAAATAAAAATGTTAAAAAGATTTTTTTTAATTGTCTGTATAGCTATGGAAAATAATTCTATATTTCATTTTCTCTGGTCACTTAATATAGTAACTTCTGTGGTTCACACAGTGTAAACAAACTAAGTTACCAATAAAATATTAGTAATTCTGATTCATTAAGAAAAGAAGTCTCTGACCTTTCTTCTTCTACAGGATCTCAAATCTTATTTAATTATTTAACAGTGACAGTGATATAAAAAAAGAAGTAAAGATTTCAGAACACAAAATCAAAGCCTTTATATGAGCTAGCTTTATACTGCTAGTTGAAAACTGGAAAGAGTTCAGACTTGCATAAGCATTGCAAAACTGTCTGATGTTTGTTGGAACAATCAGTCATGCCTATCTT